CGTCAACTATTTCACGGCACCTCCTTTCTAACACCTTTGCGTAGACTTTACTTGGGAGGCTCAATAACGTAATGCCTCCACACCTGGAGCACTCTCTATGGTCACCCTTTTTGAACTTGGGTACTACAATCCTCGTTGTTCCAGCCCATTGGTGCTTTTCGGGCAGGCATTGCAGTTTAACAGACATGTGATAATTACAATATGCCTTATTTGTGCACAGCTTTATGCATCTTAGGGCAGATTTTTTCGATTTATCGTTGTCATTTTTCAAGCCTTTTGCAACCTCTGTAACTTCACCTGTTGAAAGACTAATATCCGTTGCCTACTGTTCTTCGGACGAGTCTTCCTGCGGTTGTTCGAGGATAACGAGTTCCTAAATGCACTCTACCAATCGCCGAAACTTTCTTCATCCTTGATAAGTGGGCGTACGGACCTATCGTGCAGGACTCTCCGACTACAGTTCTTTCTATCTCGAAGACACCGATGTTTCGCCAGAATGCCTTGTTTGTCTCTGAAAATAGAACTCCATAGAACTTTCGGCAGGAATTAGCTTTTCATTTTGTCAGTGCTTTCGATACAGTTTCTTTGTGCATCATTCGAGTTGAAAGTTCCTTCCTTCGGAGCAGTTTGTTGAAAGCAGCCACATTCTTGCTGGCAACCAGCTGAAACTCTTTCTCTACCGATGTCCTCGTTTCTGATGTTTAGGCAGCAGGCTAACTCTTTTCGAACCGCACTGTTGACCGGCAGTCCTGAATAAACCGCTCTTAAAGCGCTTCCAATCAGTTTCCACCTCAACCATCAGCAATGAGTTCTGTTCATTTCTGTTGTAGCTTGCATGATTTTCCTTCGTGCCCGCAGAAGATAATATTTGTCGTTTTATTCGCTGGTTGCTTTAGACACCGGGTCTTTGTATGGTACTTCATTGTTTACAGTGGAGGGGGCCAACAACGATAGGACGATCGATAGACAGTTCTGCCCTTCTCCTTAAACACAAAAATCCATTAATCAGCGTCATAATTCAAACGAGACGATTAACAAATTGACCATGACTATTTGGTATTTCGTATAGAATACCTGTACGTCATCCAGGGAGGACTCATATTCTCCCTCCGAATTTGGTGCATAGATTTCGAAGCCTTTAGTATTTTCAGTCAGATTATTGCCACTCTTCCGTTCAATGATTCTTTCAATCAGGTAGGTTTTCGCGGAAACACCGGCTTGAGCGTGGGTTCGACACCCGAATAGAACAGCTTCTACCAACACAGGTTCAGAATTCAGAATTTAGCGCCCTGGCGCTCTATTGACGCGAGTTCAACTAAGTTCAGTCACTACCTTGATGCCTCACCAATCAGCTCCTACTCGTTCCTTCTGAGTGAAGAGATACACCAATTTTAGACCGTGTGCTCCCACTGTGTGTATCGTTTCCGTTGAACCTTATCCGACTTGCTAAAATGACATGACGCTGTCCGCCTTTACTGTTTAGAAGGATAGCGGTTCTGTTGTTGATTGGTGACTTCGTTGTCAGTCTCTGATAGCCGTTGTCGTATTGCTACGCCCCGCAATAAGAGAACGTGAGGCAAGTTCTGATCACCGAATTTTCGCCATTTGACTCAGTCCCTTAGCTGCTTGCCCGGTTCCTTGGTGACTCGACTGAGGAATGAGCGGGTATAATCTTCGATAATGCAATACCACGTTGAACAGATGGCTATATTTCACGGGATACCTCATCATAGTCCCGCAACTTTCCTTCCTTCTTTCTCACCCGTGCTTGGAAAACACAATGGC